GATCGAGGGGGAAGGAAGGAATTCAGCGCGAGGGGGGGGGAAGAAAATAATATGCAGTAAACCTTGGCTAAAAGTGCAAACAAAATACATCTAAATAAACGAAGAGTCTTTCAAGATTGCCTGGAATAACCTGGACAGTGGGGAATGCGGAACACTTGAGGTGGCGAATGGTTGAAACAGGGGCGAAGGGGGAGAGGGGCACGGGTGTCATGTTGACTAGAACAGAAAAGGTCCAGCAGAGACCTTAGCGAACCGGAAAACCCACAGTGGAGCGTACGAGGAAGGGTCCGGATCCAAGTTCCCCGTTGGAAGTGCAAGTGGTTTTCGACTGATCGTCGGTACCAGTCTCCTCACTCCCCTCCTCTGACTTCTCCTTTCCAGTCCTGTCGTCCTCAACTTTGGCTTTTTCAGGTTCTGGTTCGTTCACCTGCTGTTGATGTTGTTGTTGTTGTTGTGGTTGTTGCTGCGGCTGCTGTTGCTGTTGCCGTAGTTCCACCTGAGCACGATAATCTGCCTCACGTTGATTCAGTTCGTCCACAATTTGCATCACTGTTACTCGACATTTCTCACGCAGGTGTTGGATGCGTGATTTCGGAAGGGAGCCGGGCAACTTGAACATAGCCTAAAAAGTTGTTATGACAGGGCAGCATAAGCTTAGGCAATATGAGACAAAGTTATGTACCTAGCTAGTGTTTGTCTTCTATCACTCGGAAAATTTTGGCAATTCTTGAGCTAGTCAGTCGAATCAGAATGCTGGTCTACCGCATTTGTAAGCATCGGAGGGGGGGGGATGGTGGCAGCAATATACTGCGCTCAATCCCAGCAGCATACGACTGACAGGCACAAACCGTGGACTGTTGCGCGAGTTAGGTACCACAGAGTTAGATCGACTCTGGGGTACCCAGCCCTATAGTAAACCAACCCATTGCTTATTAATAGTAAACCTGACGTGGCTTCCAAGGCTACCAACTGACTGAGTGACCCGGTCCTTTTAGGACCGGAAGTCAGGTCGCAATAGCGCCTGCTGAATGTGAGATCTATGACACACTAACTGACCTGAGATCAGAGTAGGCCCCTCCATGTAAATTTAACATACGTCTACAGGGAATAGGTGATTAATGTTCGACCATCGGTTTCGATTATTTCCACCACATACTACACAATAGGGTGGTGTTTGGACGGGGACTTGTGTGTGAACTTGTTTTAATTGATACTATAATTACGATGCATCTATCGCACTTCCTCTCACTTCCTCACTTGAGTCCGGTGCCATGATAAAAGTCAAGTGGACGGGAGATGGGAGAGGGCGCAGACCCATTCACTGTAGACCAACACAACCACGAAAAAAACAGCAAAGGAGGGGGCCATCTCGGATCCCAGCTGAGTCAGAGTGCCATAAAAGCCGCATTAAGAAGGAGTCATTGGATCCTGACTCTCAGTCCGCCAGTCAGCCGACCCATACAA